TTACCCGAGAGCTGGGATAATTATACCTCATCTTATCTCGCGTCATCYGGCAATCTACCTACCCTTAAATCCCACRAATTAATAGCCATTTTACTCGAGGAGTACYGACGCCGAGAAGGGCGAAGCGGCACGGAGGCATCTGCAGGAGGAGTCTCGTTACAGGCACAGGGAAATTCAGCGAAGGGAAGAGGAAATGACAACTCACAGAAGGAGTGTTTTAATTGCAAGAAGCCGGGACATATCGCCAAGGACTGTTGGGCCAAGGGCGGAGGACGAGAAGGGCAAGGGCCCAAAGGGAGAAGAGGACCAAACAGGAAACATCRATCTAATCAGGCKGCCGATAATACCAATAATGATYTAAACGACASTTCGTAYATGGCCAGCRCGGGGAAATCACGAGAATTTTCGAAATATGATTGGATMYTRGACTCTGGCAGCACRTCACATATYTGCACGGCACGGGARGCATTTAATGATTATACGCCGCTACAAAATTCTACCATTCAAGGGCTTGGATCGTCACTCGTCACCGCGCAGGGGCGCGGGACAGTCACTGTCAATTTTGCCRTAGACGGAAACAATGTCAAACATCTACTACGGAATGTACTACATGTGCCGGAAGCCCCAAACTGTTTATTGTCACTCCCGCGGCTTGACGAAGGTGGAGGACACGCAGAATTTAWAAATGGSAAGACTATTTTGAAGGGAAAAARCGGTCGGATAATTGGGAAAGGGACATTAATAAATCGGCTATACCTTTTGGACGCACGCRCGGAGCTTCCTGGACAGGACCGCGTGAACTTGGCCACCACAAATAAATTRTCATGGGACCAGTGGCACMGGCGCTTCGGACACATWTCAATAAGCGCTCTAGAACGTCTAAAACGGGAAGGAATGGTCGACGGACTCACGGTGGATGAATCATCGATCCCATCACGGACATGCRAGTCTTGTATTGAAGCTAAACAAGCTCACCGGCCATTTCCCGCAGAAGCATCAAATAGATCAGATACGCCGGGCGAAAGATTTATGGGCGACGTATGGGGACCTGCACGGGTGGAGTCAATTGGGCGATGGAGATATTACCTATCACTCACCTGTGATTGCACACGGAAAGTTACCGTGATGTTCATGAGGTCAAAGGACGAAGCATTCACACGGATATGTGAATATATTGCAAGAATAGAAAAGAAATTTGGGAAGACRCCTACCTGGATTCGCTTYGACAATGGGAAGGAATTAATCAATGAGAAGCTCAAGAAATGGGCAGCRGAAAAGGGAATYATCATTGAGGCAACAGCACCATACTCACCATCTCAAAATGGYGTTGYGGAACGGTTTAATCRAACRCTTTTGGAGCTCGCACGCGCTATGATCATCGARAAAAATTTACCAACATTTTTATGGGACGAGGCAGTTGCACAYGCCGCATATCTCCGAGATCGTGCGCCTACACGGGCGCTTAACGGAAAGACACCGTACGAGGCTTGGACAGGCAATAAACCGAATATTGCGCACCTTCGGGAGTTCGGGTGCGACGTTTGGGTGTTAGACGAAGACGTTAGGAGGTCAAAACTCGCACCAAAGTCGAAGAAAATGATATTTGTTGGATTTATGGACGGATCAAAGTCTGTGCG